ATCTCTCCCACCAGGCCGCCAGATCATCTTCATACAAGTCACAAAGGGTGAGCATGTTAGCTAAGGTGGAGGCTAACATTTCCTTGCAAGAGATATCATTCAGTTGTTTTGTCGTGAGCCTCCACAACGGTTTTCCTCGAGGATAAACTTGTCCCGTGCTGAAATCGCAGCTCAACATAAGACGGTCTGACCAAGGCGTCACGATCAACCTGCAGCGGTCTGTCTTGAGCTCTTTTGAGGCTCGTATTCTATCCAGCCTGCTGGCTCCCCTCGTGTGGTAAAAGGTGTATCTGGCACCATCCATGGGAGAATACCTGTAGATGAAGGCACGCCTACAAGTAACCGGAAAGAAATCCAAAACGTTGGTGGCTTCTGTCGCTTTATCGGATAATCCGTTCTCAATGAAGAAGCGCTCCAGCTCTCTCTCCTCCACCGTTAAAGGTCGCGCCGCAGATTGTTCCGTCGTTCGATCTTCATCGACGTAGGTCATCCTGTCCGACACGACGACCCTGTTGTTAAAGTCTCCGGCTACGATGACGTGCCTGCGAGTATTGCAGTAGGCTTTCAAGTGCTCCCACAAGTCTCTCCGTTCATTGGCTTTAATCGGAGCATAGAGTCCACACAACCGGAAGGGGAGTTTGTTTTCGCCACCATCCTCTCTCAGAGCACGAATCGTAAAGTCCACCATGACCAGCCTCCCTGGGATCGCTTCTAGCATGAAGTCCACCGTTAAACTTTCGGTAGCTCTAAATAACATCCCGACGCCGGCTTGATATTCTTCACCGTATGACCATATGGAAGGGCCTCGTGTCCATAACCTTTGTGCTGAGCTGCGATCTTTTTTGGTGCACAAATGGGTCTCCTGGAGAACGTCTATATCCCCATCCAATCCTTTCAGGCCAGTCAGTGTTTCCTCACGGCGTGCGACGTGCCTCAGGCACGTTCGTGTTCCAAGTTCATATTTTTAAAGTGGCCATAGTAAATTTAAGAAAATTGAAACTTAAATAATCGATAAGGAAAAACAAATGGTCTAATTATTTATGTATTTTCCCCCCCAAGCTTTTTATCATGGATAGGCCCTGCATAAACCACCTCGAATAAATTTAACAAATTGAACAAAAGGCATAATCTGTATACATCATTTTCTATCGCCGTCATCAGGGCACAGTGTCATCACCCTCTCTCTCCGGATTCTCCGGTACAATGTACGGTTCCTTTTCTACCCCCTCTGATGTACCCCGAGGTGTAGACGCTTCAGATTGCGATTCTGAGGGGAGAGGGGGAGGGGGAAGTAATGCAAGATCTGGCACAGGGGTGATCCGAAAGTCATGTGTGGGAACGGGAGACGGTGAAAGGAGAGGTGAGTTTGTTCCCGCAACAGGAAGCGATGCGTCCGTCAAAGAGCCCTGAAAGCTCGTTAGACATGACCTCTTAACTTGCGTCAGTTTGCTCAGGTCATCTAGCAATGCCACTTGTCTAGCTTCTCCATCGTCTCGCAGGCCTTCCTCACCGTCACCTACCGACTCCTTCTGCTGACTTTCCGTCTCTCGCTGCCCCGTTCTCACACCCTTCCCCCCTCCTTGTACTTGACCCGTTTTTGCCTTTGTTCCTTGCTCCTTATTTCCTGCTCTTTTGTTCCCCGTCCC